TCGCCTCTCCGCTCCTCCCCTCTCCTCTCCTCTCCTCTCCTCTCCTCTCCTCTCCTCAAGACACTTTCAGACACAAGAGCAATCTCAGTAGGCATACAGTGCAGACCAGGCAATTACATCCTTTGTGACCTCTCAAATTCTCAACTGACTGAAGAAAATGACGAATGCACACAGTAATTTTCCAGAGCAAATTTACAAAATAGCCATGAGCAGTTCTCATTTTGGATTTAAAGTCTACATGCTGGGCTCACTGTTAGGACTGATAATGAAAAGAAAGGTGAATTTTAATTTCTAGGAGGAATATGTGAGTAGAAGTCTTTGCAAGGCTTTTTTATTGAATTCTTTCTATCCTACTGGAAAACTGATTTTTTCTTACTTTTAAAATGGATATTGCACTGCTGTGGAATTTTCATAACATTTTCTCAAATGTTAATAATTTTAGCTCTGTAAGTGTTTTCGTTATTATCTTTGCTTTCATTTTAAATTCTAAATTTATTTATGAATACTCAGATGTGGGTCACCGAGTCTGACCCACTGATCTCACATAGTTGGTCTCAAATCTTCAAACAGTGCCAATAGCACTTTCAGAAGAAAAAATACAGGTTATTGTAAGAAAAGATCATCACAGAACCAAGAGATATTTGTTAGCAAAATGACCCAGTGCTCAAAAAGATGATGGAAAGCCCCCTCCTTCCTGCCCAGGTTTCTGAGGATGGCAGTTCCACTCTGATCAACCAGTCAGGTCTCCAGGGCTAAGCAGCGTTGGCAGCCTGCATACGGCAGGATCACAGAGTCACCTGGGAGGAAGGGACCTCTGGAGACTTCTAGTCCAACCCCTGCTCAAAGCAGAGCTGATTTCACAGCTGGGTCAGATTGCTCAGGGCTTTGTCCAGGTAGGTTTTAAAAATCTCCATGGACAGACATCCCACAGCCTCCCTGGACACCTCTTCCAGAGCTGCACCACTCTCACAAAGGAAGACATTTTTTTCTTCTGCCAGGTCACAATCTCTGGACTGCAACCTGTACCCATTGCTTCTTTTCCTTCTGCTGTGCCCCTTTGAGAAGAGATTGCCTCTGGCTTCTCTGTAACCCTCTTCTTGTGCATTATCTAACAGAATACTGCAGAGAAGCTAACAGGCTAATGTTAAATTTTATAAAGCAAGCCTCTTTCACTATGTGCCATGTGTCTTAAAATAAATTGTTGGTATTTCTTGTAAATTCCGCTGAGTTCTTCTGCTTTGCTTAGACAGTGTCACAGCTGCATTTTTATCATATTAAGATCTCCAGAATCTGAACAGAGCTTTTGCTTGTGACAACATATTGCTGTCTACTGGTGTATTTTGCAGAATAAATACTCCAGAAGCAGAGCCTGGATCAGCCTAATCATTCGCCCAATGTCATCTTTTCACATCTAATCATTCGGATGCCATAACCTTTTTGATCTGTTACTCCTGGGGAAAAAAGTTGCTCAAGTATCAAAATGCTTCTTCACGAGCTGTAATCTGGGTTGTGCATCCACATGGCCTAACTTCTCCCAGGATCCACCATCACCTCATGTCTTTGTCTTCACCAGAGAGACCTTTGCCTCACCCTCTTCTTTTCACCCAGCCACCTGGTTCATATGCTTAGCTGATAACATACAAACGCTGCTGAGGCCAGTAAAACAGCAGGGCTTGCTGTGCATTAGTTAGCCACATGTCAGGGAGGGGGCGAGTGATTTGTTAGCCTTGAGTTTTCAGACTGTTTGCCAGATCATGGAGATATCTGGCAGTTCAGGCCTTCTTGCAGCATTTGCTGCCTCAGAGAAAGGTGGTGGGGGTCGTTACCTAGGATTCCCCTGACCATCATTTAGAATTTGGCAATCTGGAGTGGCTCTGTTGAGTTAGGCAAATGAATGCAAGCTCACATTCTTCCCCATCTTGACAGGTGCTTCTGACTGCACATAGACAGCTTCTCCACTTCTAACCGTCGTGCCTGAGTAACGTTGCTTAGTAATGTCCTGGTGTTAGCACAGTTACCAGTTCCAGTCACGCACAGAGTAAACGTGACAGCAACTGCAGATGACACCCCTTCTGTGGGTGTGACAATGTGTGCGCTTCGTTGCGTGCGAAGGCAAAAGTAGACTGAAAACAGCGACGTGGGCTGCAAAGCAGAATTCAGCACCTTCTGCCACAGAACAGGCAGCTCAGCCCAGGGCTCCAACTGCCTCGTGATGCACATTTTGAAGAACTTGAACTCTGAACACAAAATGGACCTTTCCACTTTCTGAAGGCTGAGCTGCAACACAGAGACTTCCAAGCTAAATTGAGTGGATCCCATGAGTGCATCCCCAGCTTGGGTTTCGATTCTAAACCCCGTGTCACAGCAGAGCCTGTAGGTACAATGCAGTGCAAGGGTGGCACCTAGAAGACATTACCGGAGTTAGGGTTACAACCAAAGACACTTCCTGCCATAAATGAAAGTTTGTTCATCATTATCCCACACTGCAGCAAAAAAGATGTCATCTAAACAGAGCAAACACATTAATTTACAAAGGAAAAGAAAAAAAAAAAAAGAAAAAAAAAAAGAAAAGGAACTCAGTGAATCAGCAGTGTCTGCGGATTGCAAGCTGAAAATTTCTATGCCAGTAGCTTCATCTTCAGCAGGTGCGACTTGGAGTAGGTGGGAAGCAAACAGGGTTAGAAGCACATGAGATGGGTTTCTTTCCTAGGCAGGGTTTTGTGGGGTTTTGGGCATGTCAGCTCTCTTTAAACTTCAGGTTCATTCCCAAAGATGTGGCTGTGCAGATTATTTATTCTAAGTAAGTGCCATGTGTTCCCTTGAAGTGAATATGTGGGTGGGAGAATGTGCTCTGTCTTCTGAGCAGTTTTGTGATGGCAGGTCAGGAAGGAGTGAGTGAACACCCCTTCCAGCGCGTTGCCATATTGCCCTCTTTCTTTTCCTGCACACTCACATCACTGAGCTAGTTTTCCTTCAAATCATTGAAACAGTGAGCCTGCTGGCACCCCTTCATTGGTAGCATGTGC